TGCAAGAAGTCATTCAAGCTCAGAACGATGGGAATTAAGGCAGTGGAGTCGCACATGCGAAACGCGAAACACAAAGCGTCACGAAACACAAGCTAACGTTAGCCCGTCTGCAGCAGCCAGAGCTAACGTTAGCCCGTCTGCAGCGGCCAGAGCTAACGTTAGCCCGTCTGCAGCAGCCAGAGCTAACATTAGCCCGTCTGCAGCAGCCAGAGCTAATGTTAGCCCGTCTGCAGCGGCCCTCTCTCTACATAGCCGTGTGAAGCACCGATGGCTCTGATGGCGATTTTTTTTTTGTTTTATTTGGCAAAATGTTCATTTGATCTGTTTTTATCTGACTGTGTTCATTATTATTCCCCCACTAGATGAAAAAAGTCATAATTTATTATTATCTAGAGACTATTAATAACAGGAGGTGAAATGCAGCTCCAGACTAGCTTTGAATGTGGTGATGTCATCAGTATGCTTCTGTTCCAGTTGACCCAGATTTATGCTGCGTGCTCCCGTTCTCCCAGAGTCCAGACTTTTCTGGGTTCTTCTCAATAACATACTTGGCGAGAACACGAGTCTATACTCGTGTTCTTGTGAATTGAGAAACGGCCAACAAGTCGGTCTCCAACTACACACCTGTAACAGTCACAGCTACTCTGCAAAGATTCTTATTTCAACTGCTGCCAGTTCTGTTAGCTCTACGCCTGCCGAAGACACAGACGTCCATCCCCGTGATCACTGGGACGCAACTCGTATATTAGCGCATATTAGCTGCGACATATGAATCAAGATGCTATGACAGAAAAAATTTGATTGACAGATGACCGCTGATACATGATTGGCTGAATTTAGGTGTTCAGGCTGACGTAGAACTAACTGGCCTGCAGAAGATAACGGAAAAAACACAGATTTTAAGACAGGANAAACAGGCAGCAAATATTATGGTGTAATAAACTCACACATCATCATCATCGATAAATATCCTAACACACCTTAATATCCTGCTCCAAAAATCTTCTTTCATATCACCGCTGCAGAAAAAGCAGGTAAAATGAACC